TCCTTCTCCAAAGCTGTCCTTATGCTATGAGGAGTTTCTTCCAGATCGGTTTGAGACCGGTTATGGCCCTTATGCTTTGGCAAATCAATAAAAACCTTTCCCTTTTTTCCAAAATCAAATCATTACTAACTCAAATTCCTATTTTATCACTTCTTTTTAAATCAAACAAAAATTAACTTGATTTTAATGTTGAGTTGGTTGATTCATCCTATAACTCAAAAATATTAACTTTATTTTGAAACTAAGTTTTCATTAATATAAATACTATTTTACATAATTCACAAAAATCTCAATCACTCTTAAATATCAATTTTTCACTTTCTTTAAAGAAATTGTGTTATTATGGCTGATTTTCGTCTTCAAAGTTTCTGTCAATCTCAACTCACGCAAATCGCTGCTGAGAATGCCAAAGCAGCTGCAGAAGAATGCTTTAAGTTAGGAAATATCGACAAGGCTATCCAACAAGGGTTCGCAGCACTTGATTTGAACCTTGAGTTACGAATCGTCCAGAAATATATTGCAGCTTATCTTGTTCACAAGTTTAATTTGATGCTAAGCCTTTGTTAGAAGATGAAGATAGATGATATTGAAGTCCTACATTCAATTCCTTTTATCGAAGATTGTTCTTCCGTTGATCTGGCAACGATTAAGAAACATTATAAAGAAGTGGCGCTATTGGTCCATCCTGACAAGAATGATTCGATCGCGGTTGAGGGTGCTTTCAAGATCGTCCGTCAAGCTTGGGAGACTCTCTTATCTAATCACAGCAAAAGAAGAAGAATGGCTTGATGGAATGAAGTCAATTTTCTTGATTTTTGTTTATTTAAATTGCATAGTATTCAAAATTTTTATAAATAATAATATAGTTATTTATGATTTTATTATGAGTTTTTTTAAAGATTCAATTTGATTTGATTTCTCACTCCAATGTTACAATTCATCATAATTATGATTAAAAATTAATGATAACATCAGATAGAGCAAAGACATCTTTATTGCTTTTAAAGAACATTTACCGACTATTTCATTGAAACTATTGATTTGTTTAATGTATAAAAGTGCTGGTCTGACCCTTAATTAACAAAATTCAGGATCTTTAATTTAGAGATTTTGAAATCCAACAAGTTATTTTTTCAAAAACACTAAACTATGAATTTAATAAAAATAAAACATTTAAAACCAATCATAGGGATTTCTAACACAAGAATGTTACACATTTGTCTAACGATAAGAGGAATAAAATATGCTGAAAAACGGTCATAGATTGGTATGTTGAAAAATCACGTAATTAAGAACCTGGGAGAAGGGCCTTTGGTTCGCCTGTTAAAGCTGCAAATTTAACTTGAAAAACTTTCATCAGTTAATTTTTACAATTTACCATTCTAACGTACTAATGAGACAAGAATCACAACTCTCAAGTACCTACAAGTTCCTAGTAGTCCAAGCACTTGAAGTCGAGGTCTTTTGTGCTTAAAATATTAGAGTTCTTTCCTTTTATTCTTCTTCTGATATTGGCTGCTTTCAAGATCCATAAATTTGTTCTTTGTAGTAAGCTTGACCGCTGCACATTAAGAACATGTAAGGTCAGTACACAAACCAGAATCAAATGGAAGTTTTATTAGGTGCTTTCTGGACTAGATTACAAATTTTCAACTGATAAATTGATTATTTTGTCAAGCTGAAACCATTCAATAAAATAAAAACAAATCCCCCGGTGACATTCAGAAAAGCTATTCTTCATGCTCAGTCTATAAATACTACAGCTTCAGGTTCACATCTCCACACCTCAACAATCAATCAATTCTCTTTTCACTCTTCCTTTGATCGTTTCCCAGATCACTAGTAATCATCATGGGTGCTTTCACATACGAATCTGAGGTTGTTACTACAATCCCACCAGCCAAGATGTTCAAGGCTTGTATCCTGGATGGCGACAAGCTCATTCCCAAGATTGTTCCTCAGGCTTTTAAGAGTGTTGAGTACATTGAAGGCAACGGTGAGCCTGGGAGCATCAAGAAAGTTACTTTCGGAGAAGGTTAGTTAATACATATGCATTTGAAATACTGTGAATAACATATTGAATTAGAAGTTACATAGAACTGTTTCATTTGTCTCTAATAACCGTACTCTATATTTGCCTTTCCACATGCAGGAAGCCAATTCAGTTACATGAAGCAGAAGGTAGAAGCACTAGACAAAGAAAATTTTGTGTATAGTTACAGTGTGATCGAAGGCGATGCTTTGATGAACATGCTTGAGAAAGTCACTTACGAGACCAAGTTAGAGCCCTCACCAGCTGGGGGATCCGTATGTAAGACTACTAGTAAGTATTACACCATTGGTGACTTTGAGCTAAAGGAAGAGGGAATCAAGGCAGGCAAAGAAAAGGCCTTGGGAATGTTCAAGGCTGTTGAAGCCTACCTCCTGGCAAATCCTGATGCCTACTGAAAATCCCAATATTGAGATAGCATCTACTTCAACGATCATACACATGTGCTTGAGTAGAGAGTTGCCTTTTCCTTTTTTACTACTTTTAAGCTTTTGCAGTTGTTGCTCCATGTGACCTTCAGGTTGCTAATAAGAGTTCATAGTTTGTCCCAAATACTAGGAAGCTTGAACTGTAAATGTCAACTGCAACACTAAATAAAGGAACATGGTCAAAATTTACTAAAAAATTGTTGTGGTCAAGCTATCTTGTGTGAATGATGAGTTCATTATCTTCAACCTTCAGGATTGACAAATTATTGAACATAAGAAAGTCAAGTTGCAGAAGCAATGTGAAACTGTATATTTCTGACACAAATTCCTTACCGCAACCTGTTTAAGCTTACATCCTGGCAAATCCTGATGCCTACTAAACAAATGCAATATTATCACTTCAAGAAAGGCTTTTTGGCTGCGCATACTAGAAAAAAATGGATTTCCATTTGTTTTAAAGTTTTTTTTTGGTCTGTTCTATCATGGGCAACTCTACCTTTTGTTAGCTAATAAAAGTTTTTTGTTCTGTTCAGCAGGCCTAGATAAACTTGTAAAGTTATATCTGAATGGAACTAGAATCAATGGAGTGTAATTGCAAAACAAAGAACATTTGGATTAGTAATGCACCAGCATTTTACTTGCCCAACGATGTAAATTTTTAGAAACAAAGGCCAAATTGCCATTAGCCCTGTCTCCAAGACCTTGAGAAAGTTAGATCTGTAAATTCTTATCTTTTACCTCATTCCCAACATATAACAAACAGTAATTGAAGCAAATCATCTTTAGGTTTCTTAACAATACGAATCCCATCATTTTACTGTCAACCAGTTGAAGTTTACTGAACAGATAATTATCAAGCCTACCTGTTTAAACTAAAATTTGAAGCTGCTGAGAAGTATGCAAAAATTCTTAAATTGAAGAAACAGAAGTTTACTGATAGTTATTGGACTTAAGCAGGTGGCTTCAAACAATTTGTTTTCTCAAATTGGCTTGGGATGATAAGAAATCAATCCTGCAAGTTTAAGAACCTATTTAAAAAATTCTTCCCATTTTCTGATGGTCACTTGATCATATAGATCCCAGCCGATAATGACATTTATGGCTTGGTTGATCAGCAGGGTCTCAAATTTTCATGTTTTGCTTATCTTGCATGAGCATATCACCATGTTGAACGTGTCACACTACCATTCACCAAGATTCAAGATAGGCTGAAGATCCTAACAGGGGAAGAAAAAGGACTGAAATGATCTGGCCCTTTGCTGTCACATGTTTTTTTCCCAGGAAGATACTAACAAACAATTATCTAGAAATATATTCTCAAACTGAATATTTCATGCATGATCAAGGTTTTAACTTTTAAACCGTGTTGACAGACATCTGCAGTAAGTAGCTGTTAGTTTCTAATAGTCCAAGCACTTGGATTCAAGGTTTTCCTGGCTTAAAATATTGGAGTTCTTTTCCTTTCAATCTTCTTCCCACAATGCTGCACCCGTGATCCACAAATTTGTTCTTTTGTGGTTAGATTGAATATTATTGCATATTGAAGATGAGCAAGATAAGTACACAAACCAGAATCAATCGAAAATTGGTTGCTTTCTCTGGCAAAAGTAATCTATTGATTACATTGTCAACAGTTAATCTTTAAGCCCACTCTATAAATACTACACTTTTAGATTCATATCTCCACACATAAGTAATCTCCTCTGCATAATAATCAATCAATTCGGTTTTCACTCTTCCTTTGATCATTCCCAAAATTCCAAGTAATCATGGGTGTTTTCACATACGAATCTGAGGTTGCTACTGCAATTCCCCCAGCCAAGATGTTCAAAGCTTGTATCCTTGATGGTGACAATCTCATCCCCAAGATTGTTCCCCAGGCTTTTAAGAGTGTTGAGTACATGGAAGGCAGTGGCGAGCCTGGGAGCATCAAGAAGATTACCTTTGGAGAAGGTTAGTTAATTGATCATGCAACTAAATACTTTGAATCATATATGATTGTGTGGAAAACATTGTTGCACTTCATTTGCCTTCCCACATGCAGGAAGCCAATTCAATTACATGAAGGAGAAGGTTGAAGCATTAGACAAAGATAGCTTTGTCTACGTCTACAGTGTGATTGAAGGCGATGCTTTGATGAACATGCTTGAGAAAATCACCTATGAGACCAAGTTGGAGCAATCTCCAGCTGGGGGATCCATATGTAAGACCACCAGTAAATATTACACCATTGGTGACTTTGAGATCACTGAAGAGGGAATCAAGGCCGGCAAAGAAAAGGCCTTGGGAGTTTTCAAGGCTGTTGAAGCTTACCTTCTGGCAAATCCTGATGCCTACTGAAAAATCCCAAACTTTTGAGACATAGCATCCACAATTCAATGATCATAATATAATGTGGGATGCATGCGTTTGTGCTCGCGTTGCGAGGGGGAGTTTCTTTCTTTTATTTTCTTCTTCTTTTTCCCTTTTACTGTTAAAAATGTTGGTCCAAGAGTGACCTTCAGTTTGCTAATAATAGGTCACAATAAAGCACCATCAAAATATATTTAAGGAAAACTGTCATGCCATCAGGCCTATCTGTTTCGAATGAATTGGTGCATTATCTATTTATCTTCATCTTTCAAGATTTGCCAAATTATTGAGCTCAATATGATCAAGTTTCAGAAAGAAATGCAGCCAGACTATATCTGCTAGATTCCTTTAATTCTTAGTCATCCAACTATACATACAGCAGGCAATACTTTAAAAGTCATGAAGAGCAGATGGTGAATTCCCAAACCTTCCTCAAAGTTTTTCACATTTGGTTTGGACAATTAATCAAACCAAATGAAACTCTGTTTAGTTGAAGGAGAATAGTTATTGTAGAAATTAGGGTCGTGTCAGATGAACTCGAAATCTCAAAATCAGGAAGTCAGAAGCTTTAAGAGTTAGTCAGTCAACTTTGGCAGGGGAGTCCCAATCATAAAAACATCTGTTTCCTAACATTGCTTGGGGCAATAAGTTAATTGTCCTGCTTGGAATAATTCTAGGCATCTAGCACGGGTTTTTTTTAGATAATTTGGTGTGGAAAGCAATGTCATTATACTGCTGAAATAAGAAAATGATCACCGTCTAAATTGTCAACAAAATATCATACTATAAGAACAGAAGAATAATTAATTTGAATGGCCAATTGGCCTGCGGCAGCCTTTCTTGAATAGTCTTTAACTCAATACTTTCTGTCTATCGAGGAAAAACCATATGAACACGCTATCTACTAGGTGACACCTTCCTGTTTCTAAACTTTGATCCATATTTCCAACTCATTTAACCATACTGAACTCCCATTTCTTGTTTCCTGTCAGTTTCTGTTTAACTAGTTCTGCTTTTAGCACTATCTTGAACAATTTCAAAGAGTTAATTTTCTGTTTTTTTCAATGTTATTTTAATATGAAAGAAGATACAAAGTCGAATTAATAAATTAAGCAAAATAAGATTGAGAATCCAGAACAATATGATGGCAATGGCAATGGTAAACTTTCTCTTACTGCAACTCTTATTGCTTAGCTGAAGGGTTCCAATTCTGCTTTATGCTGGTGCTGAGAGAACTATTCTGTAAATTGTTCCGCCATGACTTTTCCAGATGTCTCCACTTTCCTTTGCTGCAAGGCAAAGTCCTAGTGGATCTACTAACAACAAAAATTTGAAGACAATTTAATAGTAAGAAATATTATCAGAATAAATTTCATTGATACTCCTATTTACCATGTACAAATGTGACAGTGGACTCTCCCACAGCAGAAATCAGATGATGCAATGTTTAAAATGTTTAAACAATGCCGGCGGGAAGTACAAATATTCAAAGGTTTCTCTCACTTCTGATATCAGAGTTTTTTCTTACTGATCTCCTTTCAAGATTAATTACCGTCAAGGTCAATAAGTCCTGTTTGATATAATATTCATGTCAGTACAAAGACAGAACCAATTTCTTACTAAAATAATTGATTACCAAGTCATGATGGAACCAAATTATAAATAAAATATATGAAGAGATGATCACCTCTAGGTTTTCAGTCCACCAGGCTGTATTTGCATAGGGTAAAACCTTCAAGCTGAGTCTATAAATACCACACCTTGAGGTTCAAAGATCTGCACCCACAAATTAAACAATTCAATTCTCTTCTTCCATTCTTCGTTTCGATCATTTCCAAGAAAATCTTTTTGGTCCATCATCATGGGTGTTTTCACTTATGAGTCTGAGATCGTTACAGCAATTCCCCCAGCCAAGATGTTTCAGGCTCTCGTCCTTGATGGTGACAAGCTCATCCCCAAGATGGTTCCCAAGGCCATCAAGAGTGTTGAAGTCATCGAAGGAGATGGAGGGCCTGGCAGCATCAAGAAACTCACTTTCGGTGATGGTTAGTTCACATGAGACAACTAATTAACATTACTTCATTAAAAGCCAAGTTATAAATGGTAACCATTGCTGTTTATTGCAGGGAGCCAGTTTAAATATGTGAAGCACAAGGTAGAATCAGTTGACAAAGACAATTTCACATACTGCTACAGTGTGATCGAAGGTGATGTACTGATGAACGCATTCGAGAAAATCAGTTACGAGACCAAGTTGGTGCCTTCTCCTG